ATCTGGGTTAGAAGCGGACTTCTATAGATATTTGTCCCGTGAATGCAGCTACTGCACTTGGGCAAAAAAAAAAAAAAAAAAAAATGTTAACCGCATTTATGAAAAAGATTCAAAATGCGTGCAGCGATTGCCGCACGCCATGCGGCGAGCCTCTTTGCCGCCTGATATCTTTCCAAGGGTCATCTGAGCCCGCCGATGACGTCGCTTTGGATAGTTTTCTTTTCTCTCCGCTCCCGCGCTCTCCTTACGGCGCGCCGCAACGGGCGGGACTACGTAGAAATTTTAGTTGCCAATTACGACGCTTCTGTACTAATAAGATCGAAAAAAAAAAAAAAAACTCAAGGAACACAATTTTTGACGTACCTACATTATTATTATTATTATTATTATTATTATTTTATTTAATGATACCCGATACTCCGTCGCCGTCTTTGTGAATGCATCGTATGGTTATCGGGTACCGTCATCACGGGTATCGGAGGAATACGAACAAACTACTAAAACTCTCCGATAAGAGTAAAAAAAAAAATTATTAATAAAAAGTAGCGCAGGCTATTTTTTTTTATTTATTTATTATTTAAAACATTTTACTCTAAACGTTACAGGTATGCATAAGCGCCATATATCAAGAAACAATTTCGAAGGTATTGCGGGATGAGTGAAAAAGAAAAAAAAAATTAAGCGAAAAAGTAACGGGTAACGTAACTAACTACGTTACCCGTTACTGGGAATAAGTAACGTAAGAACACGATGCGTTACCGTTTCGAAAAACAAAACAAAAAAACAACGAAGTAACAAGTACGTTACAACGTTACAGGAAAGTATCCCCGTTATAAATAACGACTTTACTCGTAAACACGTTTACCCCGTTACAAATTATCACCAAACCCCCCCCCCCCCCCCCCTCCAAAAAAAAAAAAGAACAAAAAAACTTGAGTCGGCTCCTCGACACTGCTTTCATTTTAAGTTCAGGCACGAGCAAAGCGGAGAGACGATTATAGTGTCCCTCTCTCAAAAGAGAAGCCCGTTGGGCCTCTATTCCAAAGATGATCACCCGGCTGAATGGTAATTGCAACTAGCAACCGACAAAAAATCGAAGTACCAGATCTTGAGCGAACGCGAAAGAAACCGGACGTCGCCGAAACCGCGGGGAAACAGATTCCACCAAGGAGCAGTTTTTATTCCACGGAGCTTCGTCGTCCTCACTCGCAGTATTTTGATAGATTAATTAATACTTCCATCTCACACGAATGTAATGAATTAAAAAAAGTAATAAACAATACGCGTCTAACCATTTCCTAAACGAGCGGGTGTTGAATCAGAGAACTGCCGTATTGCCATTGGATGTTGAATAAAAGTAGAGTGGTGTGTATTAGGGATGTCGCGAACTTTCGCCGAACCTTATTTTTGAGTCGAACTTTCGGGGTTCGACTGGTTCGAATTGGTCGACGAGCCTTTGAACTTTTAACCAGAATCGACCGGTTCGACTTTGTGGACAGACCTTGATACAAGCTTGTTTAAGTTCAAAGCTTTTTTTTTTTTTTTATGCAAAGGGTTATTTTAATTTTATGAACAGTTGCAATTCAAAGAAACTAATTCTATCCACTGAAGAAGTTAATAACTTAATTTTTTTTTTGCACTGTATTAACTGAAATAATCAGCCAACCAGAAGCCAAATGGCCAGCCTGTCGCGCTTGCGCATAGCAGTCGAACCCTTGTCAAACTTTTCTTAAGGAGTACGAAAAAAATCAAACCTGGTCGAATTCAAACCTCGTCCGGTTCGCAACATGCCTAGTGTGTAAGATTTTTTTTTTTTTTTTTTTCGCATTTCGAGGGTTGTTTTGTTTTAGAGTTTATTAGTATGTTCGTGAAATTCTTAGAAGAGCCGTGAAATATAATCTGGCAGTGAAAACCGAAGAGACCTCGCGTGACGTGTAGAGGACCTGAATGGCTACTGGCTGCAGAGGTTTCTCTTTCAGTACTTTGACACTTATGGCACCATTGTGTTAAACTTACAGTAAGCTCAGGATTATTCGTTAATGCTGCCAACAATGAACCCTTTTAATGTGTTTTGAACGCTAAAAGGAAAATAAGAAAACGTAGTTGAGGCGAAAAGAAGAAGATAAACACACTTTTTTAATTATAATAAAAAAAAAAAAAAAGGATTGCACTCTTGGAAACGTGTTATTACATCATGACACGGGTGTTATTTTCATTCGCGCTTTCTTCAAATAAATATTTAGTTGCGAGTTCAGCACTTGCGCTGTCAACTTCGTTCCGTTTGTCCTCGTCGTTTTTGAGTGCAGAGGATTTTCATTTCATTCCAAGAGCAACAACGTCTAAACAAACACAGGCATGTTACACAGACTTAAAGTTTCTTTTAAACACTAGTAAAAAAAATTCTTGTAGGCATGCGATGTTGTATTACCTGGTGTGGGCAGTCGCCGACTTTTGTAAACAACGTGTCGAATGGACATGTTGTCGGATGGACACTGGTCGAATGGAACAAAGCTCACGAAGCCGCCGAAAGCTATGGCGACGCCGCCAGGTATTGTCTTTTGGCGGATTCATTACGATCGTTCCATTCGACCGGTACCGTTCGTTTATCCGCATATTTTCGATCCTTTCCAGTTTGGAGATAACGTAAGATGATGAAACTGCCCCGTGCGAAACATGGACCCGCAGATCAGACTTCGTGTTACCAACGGACAGACTGGTTTCATGGCAGATTGTTGCCTTCGTCTACTGGGCCGTAGAGAGCTTTCTGAGGATGCGTCCACAACACCACGACTCGGCATTTTTCGCCTGGGTTATGATAAGCGCTGGAAAGGGTGTGCAGGGAGCTTCAATTTCCAGAAGAGAAAGGACAATTAGAGTTTTACTGTTGCGTATAGGAGCAAACGCAAGCGCTGGGTGTTTGCGTTGCGTGCTACCCGCTGCGCAAGTGCCGAAATCCAACACCGCAGATTGGGCTCCGCACACGCCCAGTGTAGAGCACGCAACGCTAACGCAAACGGTGTGCGTTCGCTCGTACTAGCATTTATGCCAATCCGTGAAGAGAAATTTGTGTGACGCAGTCTCAGGTTCCTGTTATTTTAAATAGTCATCAACTGGCTTGTCTTTTTTTTTTTTTTTTTGTCTTTCCTATTGTTACAGCAACGACGTGACGTAGCATTCTATCACAAACACGAATTTGTGTGATCACAATGCCGTGTGTGAACTGTGGCCTTTGGATCCATTTGTTGATAAATGAAAATCGAAGCCTAACAGCTCGGCAGCTCACGACTGGCCGGGTCTATTTCGACAAACTTGGAAAAATTAAAAAAAAAAAAATATATAAAAGAAAAGGATGCTTATGTAAACATCCCGTTGAACTAAAAAAGAACAACGACATTCGTTTTCCGAGTTTTCATCTGCATTTGAGGTTAATGGCTTATTTATTATACTGGTAAAGCTACCGACGTACCCTAAAAAAGTTGCGTTCGGTCTTTACGTATACTTACAAACCAGCTGACGGAAGCACGTAATAAAGTAACACGTAATCGCAAACGTTCAAATGTTAAAAAGAAAAATATTTTTTTTTTCCCGGAAAATTAAGCTGCGCATCGCCGCACGCTGCAGCTAAAGTTTCCTATAAAAATGTTCGAAAATCGTTTCTAACATAAGAATCGGACAATGGCAAACTGAAACTGGCACATGTGGTCCGGACAACTAGCACTACCTTTGGGCAGAGACTGAGCTTTCGGCAATGCGCAGCAGAGACGTGGCCAGGGGGAAGGTAAATTATTTTTAAATATTCGTATGTCTGCGAATATGTGTTGTACTTCGTTACGTGCTGCCCTCGGCTGGTTAGTACAGAAAGACCGAACGCAACTTTTTAAGGCACGTCGGTATTTTGTTCCACCCAGACTGCACATTACCGAAGTGAGTAGGTGATATGTGACACGTGTTTTCAACCTAGCTTGTGGTGTATCACAGCTGTTTTTATGAATCAGCACACAAATCAGGAAAATCAAACCGGTAGAAAGAAAACCAACACGACTTCCCGTCTCTATTCGACAGGAAAATCGTACACACAACTCGAGTCTTCCATACCTGTTTAACACTCCAAAGCGCGTCGAACGAATCGTACGACAGTAAACATTAAACATCCAAACAATAAGAAAAGATAAACTTAGATGGTTGGTGGTACATGACCGAGAAGACGCAAATCACATAATGAAGTACCGCTACAGCCTACAGGTGTCGAAAAATTGTCCTACGAAGAGATTGGAGTGACTCCAACGAACCTCAATACACGAAACGATAACCAGCAATCTGGCTGTCAGCCCGAGTGACAGGACAAAGTTGCATAAACCAGCGCGTCGTCCACCGCGAATAACGACAACCGTTACTCGAGATTACGCATACGACGACATATCCATATCTAAAGACGACGAACTAGATCGCCCAAGCGGCCAGAAGATTGCCCCAGAAGGACTCTCGCTATATTGGGCAGGCATTTGCTCTCATCCAAGGACGCCTTTTCTATTTTTTCGTTTGGGGCCGCATTGCACCGCCCGTTGTTCCCCCAGCTGAGAAACTCGCACAACAAAGTTCGAAACTTTCTACGTTACTCATGATCACGAGGCATTCATCAAACGCGAGCTGAACCTAAAAGAAATCGAAAAAAAAAAAAAAAAAAAAAAAGCGAACGCTCGTACGTTCCGATCTCTGATTACGCTCGGATCGCGATGCATACCAGACACCAGACGAGAGCGTCCCAGTCGCGACAGCTGATACTGGAAGCGCAAGCGGCTCACTTTCCAGGAAGTTGAGAGTTTCCCCTGCTCGGGCGGACACACTTCGGACTTTCAGCGACAAAACTTCCCGTTAAACGGACGTTTCCCAGCAGGGGCAGGCGCCACGAAGGCGGCAAGTATTTGGCTGCAAGCGATTCTGAGGAATGCAAGTCGGGAGACTGGGCAAATTAGGCTTAGTTTAAATAGCAGACGGCCTACCGTCTTTCCTTGGGCGCGTTGGCCTGTCGGGTGGCGATCATCGTGGGCGCCGTCTGGTATGTCCGTTTCTGAAGCGGTGGAGGAGCGATGATGTCGCACGCAGTCTCAGGACACTGCCGAGGATTGCATGCAGGTTCCGGGGTCTCCACGATGCGGCAAATGTTGGCGCCAGAACCCAGCGGGGCCTCGCCACACAACGAAAGAAACACGCTCACAACAGATCACACCGACACGAGCTCCGAAGAACGTCGGCCAAAGGGAAAAATTCACGCACGGAGCAGCAGAAAAACTTTGTTGCCTGTGGTTCGCAGACGACACACACCACAACACCAGGAGAGGACCATTCGGCTAGGGGTTAAAGTGTGGAAGGCGGTCTAGCTGCTGGGGGCGCCACGTGTCAGAAACAACATAAAAAAAGGTTCGGGAAGGTGGCGGCACGCTGCGTTGATTGCGCAAAGCTGAGAGGTGCTGTGCTGCTAGGGACGCTAGGGACATTCTGGGGATTATTCATCCCGAGGGACCACGTTGTAGACGAGCGATTCGGAGGAGGAATAATGACAGGTCACGTGACCCGACGTCACCGGAAGTGACGTCACAAATATAACGTCACGTGACAAAGAAATTTTGTTTTGCTTGTTTTTGTTTGGTTTGTTTTCTGTGACGTCACGGTTTTTAGCGAGGAAACTTTTTCTTATTTTTACTTTGTTGACGTATTATTTTTTTTTTATTTTGTTTATTTTCTTGCTTTTGCAACCGCGGGACCGCGTTTCTGCGCTTCAGATTGCGTTTTTCCGACTCCTTTGTTTGATATCGTGTCGTATCGTCGTATTTATGTAGTTATTAGGAACGGCAAGGCCTACGTTGTTGCGTCCTTTACCTGAATATCGTGACCGAATCGAGTGTCGTCGATTTGAATCGTGTCTTGCGAACCATCGTCGAACAAAAGGTGAGTGGCGTTTTCCTGTGATGTGATTTCGATGTGTTCGTTCCACGTGTCCGAGCTGCTTCTTCGTTTCAAATACATTTGGCGCCGCTGCCTATTGTTTGAGCCTGTGCTCACGATGAAAACACGCATCGCAGAAACCTGAAAGCCCGCCAAAAGAGCTCTAAAAACCGCATCCCAGACCTGCCGGCAGACTTCCGAGCTAAGCCTGATTAAACAAAAACGTTTGATCCGGCGGAATAATGTGTTTGATATTACATCCCATGTCAACAAGGAACTGCGCTGTCTGTCTTCGCCCCCAACAGGTTTTATTCTTCCGGGTTTTTCAAATCTTTACCAACCCGCGTCCGATCGTAATACCCCGATCACAACAAATAGTTGATCGTGCTCCGATGGCTCCAAACATCAGCCGGCAAGGAAGTTACGTTTTTCGCTTCTATATTTTGACCCAAGTAAGCTCATGTTCTCAAACTATGTCATTCTGTCACCACCTCCAGTTGCACATTCTGGCGCACTTGCAGCCTCGTGCACGCTTGCGAGGTTTCCTGCTATCGTACCCTGGATATCATGGATTTCTCGCCGTACGCGAGTGCTCACGGAGGCGTGCTATACACTCTGTATCATAAGTTGTGTGCAGCAGAGGCGCAGGCCCGAGCACATGACAGTAAAAAGCGCCTTTTTTGCACGAGTACCCGCGCAAAAGGACATTCTGCAGAGCTGTGCCCTCGCACCCGTGCCTTTGCTGCACACAACTTACGAGGCAGTATAATAACCGAGCCGTTTTTGTTTCTTTTGCACATTACTGTGAAAGAAGTGTCATTGCTGTTTTCTTCTCAAAGAAAACTCAGAGACGTTAGACAAAAGCAAACAGATAGGAGACTGCACATTCATATGTTTTTCCCCCTTGTGCTACAGGTGATGGCTGGTCGTGGTTCATCAGCGTTTGTTTTGAAACTGATGGGTACCACAAGGCATGAAGGAGGTGACTTGCAGCAGCAAGGCACTGCAAGCCTTCGCAGCAACTAGCTAGCCAGTGCTGCTCTGTTCTGAACTGCACTGCGTGTCATGCGGAGGTTTTGTGCAAGCTCTCTGGGCGGCGACGCTAGCCACGGTAAGTGCATTCTATGCAGCTTCCTTTTAGGGATATATGTGTCTTCGGAAATTAAAAACAGCGCGGAAAGACGAGGACCAGACAAAGAAGTGACACGGACGTAGCGCTGACTTACAACTGAGTTTATTGAACGCAAACTCGCAATATTTATTTGCGGTGTCACGAACAAAAGAACATAAAAAATTCAGCCCATGTGATGTATCACCAATAAAAATAAAACAATGAAAAAAACATTGAAAAAAATAATAATGAAATGCGCCATGACACAGCCGTACAGAGTATGTGCCAAAAATCGAGCAAGTCACGGAACTAGAAAATTCATCTCTTTGCCTGATAGGGCCACAGAAGGACTGCTTACACATGCTGCACCCAGCCTCGCTATCTCAACAGCCTCTAGAATTTCCCGAGTAAGCTGGTCCCTATGACGCTTAACAACCTCACACCGTTGGAAGTCGGGAAGGCAACCACAGTCGCGGCAATGAATGCCCAGGTGACCAGACACGGTTGTGGAGACGCTGTAAGCGTGCTCTCTCAACCTGTCGTTGAGACAGCGGCCCGTCTGGCCAACGTAGCGCCTGCCACACGTCAGAGGGAGAGAATAAACAACCCCCTCCGAACACGGGACGAAGCGATCTCGATGCCTCGTACTGCAAGCCGTGGCCGCCCTCGAAGAAGGGTTAACAGCTCTGCACAACCTGGACAGCTTGTCCGGGGCAGAGAATAAAACGTCGACGTCACACCTGCCAGCAATGCGTTTTAGGTTGTGGGACAGGCCGTGTACGTAGGGAATAACCACAAACTTTCTTCTTTCCCTTCCCTTTCTGTTGTTGGCCTCTTCTTCACTTCTCATAGGGCTGCTCTTGATATCTTTCAGCTTACTCGGGAAATTCTAGAGGCTGTTGAGATAGCGAGGCTGGGTGCAGCATGTGTAAGCAGTTGCTGAAAGATATCAAGAGCAGCCCTATGAGAAGTGAAGAAGAGGCCAACAACAGAAAGGGAAGGGAAAGAAGAAAGTTTGTGGTTATTCCCTACATACACGGCCTGTCCCACAACCTAAAACGCATTGCTGGCAGGTGTGACGTCGACGTTTTATTCTCTGCCCCGGACAAGCTGTCCAGGTTGTGCAGAGCTGTTAACCCTTCTTCGAGGGCGGCCACGGCTTGCAGTACGAGGCATCGAGATCGCTTCGTCCCGTGTTCGGAGGGGGTTGTTTATTCTCTCCCTCTGACGTGTGGCAGGCGCTACGTTGGCCAGACGGGCCGCTGTCTCAACGACAGGTTGAGAGAGCACGCTTACAGCGTCTCCACAACCGTGTCTGGTCACCTGGGCATTCATTGCCGCGACTGTGGTTGCCTTCCCGACTTCCAACGGTGTGAGGTTGTTAAGCGTCATAGGGACCAGCTTACTCGGGAAATTCTAGAGGCTGTTGAGATAGCGAGGCTGGGTGCAGCATGTGTAAGCAGTCCTTCTGTGGCCCTATCAGGCAAAGAGATGAATTTTCTAGTTCCGTGACTTGCTCGATTTTTGGCACATACTCTGTACGGCTGTGTCATGGCGCATTTCATTATTATTTTTTTCAATGTTTTTTTCATTGTTTTATTTTTATTGGTGATACATCACATGGGCTGAATTTTTTATGTTCTTTTGTTCGTGACACCGCAAATAAATATTGCGAGTTTGCGTTCAATAAACTCAGTTGTAAGTCAGCGCTACGTCCGTGTCACTTCTTTGTCTGGTCCTCGTCTTTCCGCGCTGTTTTTAATTTCCGAAGTATGTACCAACTCGCCCAAGCCTCAACTTTAGGATATATGTGGCTCGCAGGCCATGTCGTGCCAGCGAAATATGTGCCACCCGAGTGACAGCAGTGCTAGTGGCAAGGCTGCGCTGACAGTAATCAACACTGCACTGTGTTTTCATTCAATAACTAGTGACAAGGAACCAAATACTCCCGAGAGAGTCTCGGTTGTGCTTTGATAAACTCCAGCTCGCTTATGAACAGGTGGATGGCACAGATGGCTTTTCCTGGTGGACTTGGTGTCCGTGTTAACATTGCAACCAGACTTTCTTTCAGTTTGTGGCGTTTTTTCGTTGCGGGTGACCAGCATTGCAGTAGAAAAAGATGCAAAATAGTATAATGTTTGCATTCGTTACCTAAATTAATGGCAAGAACAACTGACATACATTTCCACCGACTGCATTTCTCGGAGGAATAGCCTGGACTAAAAAGCTCGCTACACTATGTCGTTCCCTCTTCGCCTGTACAACTCTGCGTCTTCCCTCGATCGTCTTATGTGGCTGCTTCTGTGTCTGCCTAGGCACTCGGTTGAAATGGGGAAAGCTGTCTGCGTTGCACATAACCGCCATTAGAGCCAGCGTGGGCGTAGCTGGGGTAGCCCCCACTATGGCTTCTCCAGCTCGACACAAGTAACATTCCTACCGCTGTTGTGTTAGCAGAAAACAGACCTGCTTAAAACGTACAGTGCACATAGCACACAATGGAGAGGTTGCTTGCCAATCATTTTCTTGGAAGTGTGAGTTGAGCCCTTTCGAGGCAGTTTGCTTCCGCACCGTGCACTATAATCCGCCCGAGAAGAGAAAACAAGATGAATAACCAGTAGGATTTCTTTGTTCCAAGGCTTCTTGACGCAGAAAAAGACTAGGGAGCCAGTATTGTTGCTTTTTTGCTACCCCGTGCGAGACTCAAACCCGACATGCAAGGAAGTGGAAAGGCCTCTTCCTTTCTGCTTTCTTGTGCCTTGGGTTTTAGCTGTGTTCAGAATTCACAGCTCGCCTGCATGCCTACTCTTCTGTTCACTGTGTTACTGAAGTTTTCTGTCGTTGCTGTCCCAGATTGGCTTCGTGGATGCACAGAAATACTCAAGGCGCTTGACGTCTGTGGCTCATCTGTATTGTTTTTCCCGGTACCACGGCATGAAGGAGCTGGCCTTCCTCCCTTCCATCAGCTGCGAGATACTACAAGCACTGGGCTACAGCTGCAGCTAGCCCATGGGTACCGTTCTGCGTCCTGTACTGCATCTAGTTCGAAAGGCCATGTGAAAGGCAGGTGTGGTCTTTATGGGCTCTGTCACTATGTGCATTTTCTGCAGCTTTTTCGGGGCAACTTCATATTAAGATTCAATACGGACTCGAGTGAGAGGGGGGCATTCTGAGAAAGCCAGCCTCTTTGTTAAACCATTGGGACTGGTATTATATCTACAGAGTTTATTTACACCTTTTGTTATGTACTTTTTTATTTATTTTTATTTTACTAGTTACTTATACTTCAATCTGACACCGACAGCCACC